CACCTTACAAGCCATATTGATTCATTAAGTCCAAGCCTTTGACCTGTACTAGTGGTCCGGACCCAGAGCAATTTGAACGCAATTGATGAAACTCGGATGGAAGATTTCCAATTTTCGAGCTAGAAGTCTCCCAACACCCCAACCTATTGCGCCAATCCTAAGGGTTTCGTATGTATATATGAAGTTATGTCTTTAGTTACAAATATAAGCTTGTAGATGGGAGAGATGATGGTATAGTAAATCCCAATATTTCTAGTTAAGTGCCTACGATATTTTTTCTTAGTTCCACATTATTGAATTGCAAAACAATAACCGAAGTTCCCACGCATCCAGGGAAATGCGAGTTCCATATAAAAAATGACTTTGAAGACAATTTAAAACAAATTTATTAGCTAAAAGTAGCTTGATTTTTGCAACTTGTAGGCCTTTAGTTGTTCATCCGAAATCTAGCTCAAAATATAGCAGAAAATAAACATAGGATTATCGTATGTATAATGTGGGACTAGCCATTCTGTTAATCATTAGTATCAATAGATCAATAATTGAAGTTTCTCCCTATCATACCAAGTTACCAACTAAACAATGAAATAATTATTTTCGTAAAGAATATACCAAAAATAAAATAGCTATTATCTTTAATGAAATAAAATACCTCTTTTTCCCAGTTCTTTTAGGGTCAAAAAGGCACATTTTTCCCAAACAAGGAAATGGAAACCGGCACCATCAACCTTGTAGCCAGTGGCATCCAACCGACATTCAACCGACACTTTTCTTTTCCCCTTCATTTTTTTTGTCTTTCTTCTGTTGCTTTTTGGCAACAATCACAATCATAACATGCATTAATCCAGTTGATTTATACCTACTCAACTGCAAGAACAGTTTCGTCACCGCTTCAATGATTTGAGTGCTGTGCATCACACTTTACAAGACAGCATGTGAAGCATGCCGGAACAGGTGCAAGAAACATGCCTAGCAATGCATATTTGCTGATCCTTTTGTTTTTTTTTTTGTTCACAAAAAATTGTGTCACATATGTTATTATATGAAAACGGGATAGTTATAAAAGTCATCCTTTCTTCGTTCATGGTTCGGTATTCTAGTGTCCTAAGGGAAAGGAACATCCGTGTAGAAAGCAAGTTTTAGGTTAGAAGGATTAAGGGCTGCTTGACAGTCTCAAGAATGGAGTTGCGCTAAATTGGCGGCCGTAACTATAATGGCTGTAAGGTCGTAAAATTCATGATCCGCAACTGTCAATATATCTCGCACACAAAAGTGAGGCCAGCGACGGGGCATGTGTTCCTACGTTTACTTGTATTTTTGCAAGCCTTAGATAAATAAACTTTTACAATTTTTACCCCCAGATTTTTACGAAATGTACACTTTACGCTTTTAAATTTAATATCATTAAAGCGAAGGTTACAGAGTTATTGTAACTCAAAGGTACGATGTTTATTTTCTTTTTTAATCTTAGCATGAAAGTATAAGTTTTGAAATAAGACTGCGTAAAGTATCTGTTTCGAAACTAGATATGAAGAATCTTGAATATTGTTTTCGTAAATTTCCAGGGGAAAGTTCATCTTTATATTTTCAGATTCATCGAAGTTATCTAAATAGAAAAAAAAAAAATGATGCAACGATAATATCATACGACAATAAAGTTAACGTAGTCTCAACAAAAATATCAAGTGCCTCATTTTCATGACACAGTACACGTAATGGAATAGCACACGAAGTTCTTGGTTATAGAAAAGGGTTAATACCACGAAAAACCCTAAACTTGTACACTTGTGACACATTTACCCCAAATTATTTTTTTGACCATAAAAAACCCCAAACTGGTACACCTGTGACAATTTTATCCCGAACATACCACAAAAAACTCCAAACTGGTATACATGTGACAATTTTACCACAACTAATTTTTAATATTTTTATTTTTATTTTTTTGAATTTTTTCTTTTCTTTTTTGTTCTTCACTTCAACCTCGGCCTGTGAGCCGGTCCGGCGACCGGCCGTAGGCGGAAGCCGGCGAGGGCCGCCCTCGCGCATTGCCCGGCGAGGGCCGCCCTCGCTCGACTCGGCAAGGGCGACCCTTGCCGGGATCTGGGCCGGGTGGCGGCCCTCGCTCAGGCTCGAGCAAGGGCCGGTCCTCGCCGCCCAGGCGGTGCCGCCTCGCCGAAGCCGGCGAGGCCGAGCCCTCGCCCTTGCTGGCGGGCGAGGACGGCCCTCGCTCGGACGCCGGCGAGGGCAACCCTTGCCCGACGCAGGCGAGGGTCGCCCTCGCCAGATCCGGCGAGGGCAGCCCTCGCTCGATACCGGTGAGGGCAGCCCTCGCCTGAGTCGGGCGAGGATCGCCCTTGCCACTGGGCGGGCGAGGATGCCCTCGCCGACGCCGGCGAGGGTAGCCCTCGCCTGAGGCGGCCGCGTAGCGAGGCGCCCTCGCCAAGTATCGAGCGAGGGCGCCTCGCCGGATCCGCGGCGAGGCGGCCCTCGCCCGACGCAGTGAGGTAGCCCTCCTCGATACCGGCGAGGGTCGCCCTCGCGGCTTCGCCTACGGCCAGGTCAGCCGGACCGGCGACCGCCGAGGTTGAAGATAAAGAAAAAAAAAATAAAAGGAAAAAAAAAATAAATAAATAAAAATTAGAAAAAAATAAAAAATAAAATTAAAATTTTAATTCGGGTAAAATTGTCACATATGTACTGGTTTGGGATTTTTTGTGGTAAGTTCAGGGTAAAATTGTCACAGATGTACCAGTTTGGGGTTTTTGATGGTCAAAAAAATAGTTCGGGGTAAAATTGTCACAGTTATACCAGTTTGGAGTTTTTTATGGTCAAAAAAATAGTTTGGGGTAAATGTGTCACAAGTGTACCAGTTTAGGATTTTTCGTGGTATTAACCTTATAGAAAATGACTTTATATGACAATTATAGAATACAAGATCTACTAATGAACATTCTTTTCTCTAATTGTTTATTGGCATTAAATGCATGTCTGCTTTTTTGGGCTCGAGATCAAATGATTCAAATCATGTCTTAGGCTCACCGCCCAATGATCACTTCTATTGCAAGTGTACCATTAAAATAATTAAATATTAAATCATATGTTTATCTAACAGCTTAAATTTTTAGAGTAGTTAGCAATATTCACACAAAATTTCATATGATTTCAAAGCCAGTGCTATCCCTTTCGTGTATGTGCGTCCACCCCATCAATGTTTCACTTCTAATTTGGCTTACACATGAGAGGGGATGTTGAAACATTATTTTACATTGCTTGACAACATGTCATATATGTTCTTTATATTTATGTAGTCTCCTTTCACTTATCGACTTAAACTTTTGAGTTGAACTTTCCGCATAGTATTAGGGCAGGAGGTCCTATTCAAATCTTTCCCAGCCGCTATTTGCTTCCCCAATTACATATTTCATGCATTTGGTTTAAGCCAAAATCCAGCCTACGCGTGAGGAAAAGTGTTATAATATTTAACTATTAAACCACATATTCATTCAACAGCTTAAATTTTTAGAATATTTGGCAATGATCCCACAAAATCTCATAAATAACATGACTAATTGACCATGTACGTTTCTTATAACTTCATGAAGTAAAACGAGCTGCCAAAATACTCAAGAATGATTTTTCACTTTGAAAATATATGGACGTCTTTCAAATTTGAAAATCGAGAAGAACTTCATCATTCATTTCCTAAAATTCTACATAAACTCTTTAGCTTTATCTATTATTACATACTCTCGAGCAAAGGCTCCCAAAGCAATTACTTTTTGTTATGACGAGAAAGCCTACCTTAAATAGCTAAACTCTGGTCCATGAAATAGCCCTCTTAACATAGAAATTATTTGATATGATATCTATGCTCTCAATGCATCTCAATCAATAGACCGAATGACTCGCTATGTACTTCATGCAACTCAATCTCGTGTACTAAATGACCAACATGTACATCGATTTATGCATTTTGGGCCATTTGTTAAGAAACAAAATGACGAAAAATTTGTCATTCTTAATGTACGACTATTACCGTGTTATAATTAATATGCCAAATATCTATATATTATTTATCAAGTATGCTTAATTGATCTTAGAGAGCAAAGTTAATAAATTCCTAAATTATTCTTTTAAGTCAACTAAGTAAATATCGCTGCCAGGTTGTGATAACTAGGGATGACCATTGGTCCAGGGTCAATCTTGAACTGGCCCTGGACCGGCCCAACCCGGCCGGTCCTAGTTCGATTCCTAGGGAGAGTGGACTAGTCCTTGGTCTTGGGACTTCTGGAACCAACATTGTGTGGGTTGGTCTTTGGTCTTGGGGGCTTTTCACTAGATCTCTCGTCTCTCCTTGCTCGCCTCATGAACATAGCTCAGCTCAGAATTTGAAGCAATTTTTTAAGAATAAACAACATATGAAATTGTATAATTTATGATTTATTTTACGTATTTTGAACTTTTTATTGTTTAATTTCACGTATTCATCTTTTATGTTTTGTTGCTTTTGGCAAGAGAGAGATTTCTGTTGTTGCCTTATCTTAGATTTCTGTTTGATTTGTACCGGTGGTCACCTTTTGGTTGCTCGATATCGCATAGTCAATGGATATGTAATTTCAAAGAATACGTTTTTCCTTTCAAGAAATACAAAAAAATGAAACAAAAAAAAGAATCGGTTGGTCCGGGGTTGACCTTGGAACCAGACCGGACCGGACCCACAGGGTCGGTCCAGTCCTCAATCCCGATATCAACAGGGTTGGTCCCCGATCCCAAAGATGAGGGACCAACATTGCATGGGTTGGTCCTTGGGTTGGGTGCCCAACCCGGACCATGCTCACCCCTAGCAATAAGCTTGAACACCGTGCTGAAAGAGAGACAAATATTGAAGGCCACTCTCTTCCGTGTGTTGTATAAAGCGATGAAGAGCCAGCACATGTCATGCTAGTGACCAACCTGCCTTTGGATACATGTTGAGGGAGAGACTTCACACCTGATCTTGAGATAGACACAAACCGAACACCCTCTCACTCTCGCTCACTCTCGCTCTCTCTCTCTCTCTTCCTGTTTCTCTCTTCCTTTGCTTAGTATTTAAAACTCTCATCATCAACTTCACGTAATAACACCCAAAGAAGAAAACAATCACCCTCTCTGATCTGGGCTTAGCTTAGCTTAGTCTCTCTTTGGTTGGTGTTTTCTTTGAGTTCAGTTCATCATTGTTCAGCCATGGTTTCTGCAGATGCTGCCCGTACAGCAGTCGGTGTCTTAGGTGAGTTCCATTCTTTCATGTTAAAATTCTCACGGAGTATATTAAATTGAACCTCTAAATTCTCATTGGAATCAAAGAAAGTAGACTGATGTAGTTTCTCGTGCCTTTTCTTTCCTTCTTTTTTCTTTTTCAGGAAATGCGATCGCACTCTTCTTGTTTCTATCGCCCACGTAAGAACTGTGTCAATTCCTGTGCTTTTCTTTCTTCGGATTTTTGGGGTGTAAAGTGGTTTTGCTATGACAATGTGAAGAAAAAGGCAAGTCAAATGAAGCTAACCCTAATTGCCTCGGCTTTAGGGATTTTCTCAAAACTGTTGAAAGACTAAAGAAACTCATGCCGTAGGGATTCTGAGCACGTTCCTATAATCTGTGGACAATGAAAAAGTTTATTATCGTTGGAGAAGTTTCATTTTGCATAATTGTCCCTCAAGATTACAAAAATAATCCTTATTATTGTTAAACAATTCTCTCCTTTCTTTATATTCTCTTTTTCTATTGCGAGTTCTAGTTCGCTATTTGAATATTTATAATTTTCCAACCAGAGGGTACATCAAACCCAATGTGCTCTTTCTTTTGTCATCTTACATAAGTACATACGTACGATGTAATTCTTCAATTTGTCTCCAACCCCAACAGATCTGATTAGTGCATCTCCCTCGCTCAGCAAAAGCAGCTGCTTAATCTTTCCTTTTGCCTAATGCATAGTTGAATGGAAATAACAATATATTTGGCTCGAAGGAAGCTATCCAGTGCTTGATGTCTTAAAAACCAAATTTTCACGAGCAAGAAGCAGAAAAGACATCTGCAGTCTCTGAAAGCTTGACCATCTCTTTTCTTTTTCATCGTGAATTCATGATTTTTTTAACCATTTCGTAAATCAAGTTTGTAGATCATGCAAATATATTTGACACAGGCCAACATTCATTCGGATATGGAAGAAGGGCTCGGTGGAGCAGTACTCGCCGACGCCGTACCTAGCCACCCTCATCAACTGCATGGTGTGGGTCCTGTACGGCCTCCCCATGGTCCACCCCCACAGCACCCTTGTCGTCACCATCAACGGTGCAGGGACCGTCATCGAACTCGTCTACATACTTCTCTTCCTCTTCTACTCCGACCGTCAGAAGAGGCTCCGAGTGGCGGCGGTGGTGCTCATCGAGCTCATCTTCATCTCGGCCCTTGCGGTCCTAGTCCTGACCTTGGTCCACACTCACAAGCAGATGTCGATGGTCGTTGGAATCGTGTGCATGGTGTTTAACGTCATGATGTACGCCTCGCCATTATCCGTCATGGTAAGTTTTGGCCGCGATTGATCACTTATCTATTTTGTACAAACAAGACGAAGGAAATGATTACATGGCTCGTGTCACGTAAATCGTCCGTCATTAGTAAGCTAGTCTTAGTAAACAATTCGTTTCTATAAAATTGCGCTTGTGTATTTAGATGAGTAATTCTCGCACGAAGATTTGTTTGGGTAGATATTTTTGACAGGATGTTTCTAAAAATAATAACAATATCTAAGGGAGGCTTGAGTTAGATATAGTGGGTGTCATGGCATAAATTTCTTTATACTTGGAACTTGTATTGGATGAATATTGTGTGTTTGGATGCAGAAACTGGTGATAACGACGAAGAGTGTGGAGTACATGCCCTTCTTCTTGTCCCTCGCTTCTTTTGCCAATGGCCTTTGCTGGACTGCTTACGCCCTCATCCGCTTTGATGTCTTCATTGCTGTAATTATACTCTCTCTCTCTCTCTCTCTCTCTCTCTCTCTCTCTCTCTCTCTCTCTCTCTCTCTCTCTCTCTCTCTCTCTCTCTCTCTCTCTCTCTCTCTCTCTCTAACTAAAATGGTAGACGTAGTTGAAAGGTTCGCGTGAAATCTTGTTTTTCTTGTTGCTTTGTAATGGTTCGTCGGAATAGGGTTGGATATTAATCAAATGTCTCATGCCATCTTCAATATGAATCTTAGCACACGTCATATGTTATTGTGGAACTATATTTAGCACACTATGTTAAGAGAAATTTACACATGCAGTAATATGAACTATCATGTCAGATGAAAAAAATCATTTCAAATGCCACCTATCTCCTAACAAACACAAATTGTGTCAACTTTTTTTTTTCATGATAGATTATGTATCAACGAAGATCTCAAGTGGTTTTCTTTAAGAATTAGGAGCGAGCACCAAATGCGATATGATTTGAGAGCCTAGCGAAACCGACTTGATCGGTTCGGTTCGGTTCCATGTTGTTTATAAGGAGAACCGACCTGGTTTTTTTAAAACTTATTACCCCTATCTAGAGTGCATACTGCACGGTACTCGCTTAGTGGAGAGGCTTTTTGAAATCCTATAATTTCCTTCTTGTATATGGTCTTTTACACACTCGTTTACCATGTGAATATGCCGCTATCCATTGATTAGATTTTCTGACTATTGGGTTTCAGGCTCCTAATGGGCTCGGGTCACTATTCGGGCTGGCCCAACTGATCCTATATGCCACATACTACAAGTCCACAAAGCAACAAATGGCTGCGAGGAAGCTAGACGAGCTTATCGGAAGTGGTGGTGAATAATGGAGGAGATGGAGACTCCAAGAAAATCAATGGCGCTGCCCCCTCAGAATGAGATTAAGAGGGCATGAAGTTTCATGATATGGCGACTGATCATTTCTAGCCAAATCACAAGATTGGCAATTTCATCTAGATGCTCGGTTTCTTTTTAAATCAATGGAAATATAGAATCATAAGGAAATCCATCTCAAGTTTATTGTCAGAAAGTAAGCTTTGTGGTCGCAGTTAATTATATAACGGTAGGCTTTTGTATCTTCATCCAACCGCAGTTGGGGGAAAATATAGCTTTTGTATTTTTTTTCCCGAAAAAAAAAAGGGTCGTATTATTTAGATAATACTAAATGTTGAGAGAGCCGCCACATTAATTTCATGAAAGTAACCGACCCGCTTTTTGATGCATCTTAAGAGATGACTTTCATCTTCTTCAGAGATGAGACATGAACTAAACCTCCTCTCTCTTTTCATGGTAATACAACATCATCAACTTCACGTAATGTAGCTTACCAAACAAGAATACGATCCTCTTCAAGTTTGGGCTCATCTAAGTCTCTCTCTGGTTAGTTTTCTTTGATTCAGGATCATTATACGCATTACAGAGCCAAGCCATGGCTCCTGCAGATGCTGCTCGAACAGCAGTGGGTGTCTTAGGTGGGTTTCATTCTTTTCTTCAATCATGCCTTCTTTTCCATGGTTCAAGTCTCGTTAATGTTCCTCTCTTTTAGTTATTAGTAATGAACCCGCATCACGCGCACGGTAGAATTTTAGAACGGATAAACTAAATTATGTATAATGTAGAAAATATTCCGTTCGTATTCTAATCTCTCATATTGAAAAAAAGTGGACTCTTAGTCTTCTGTTATATGGAAACCACGTCCAATAAATCGCATATAATGGACAAATTCAGCCCTTTTTTTTCGGCATGATAATGAACATATTTCTTGTGAGAATTTCTCGTTTATAGCAAATTTGATTTTCATGTAACTTTTACCATAAATCCAAAGCCATGTATGTATGTCCACATGAATTAGAGTTGGTGTTTCTGATATGATTAATTACAAATGCAAAGTGATGGCTAAGCACAAAAGAAGATAGACGATATGTCTTATTGATAACAACATTATCAGTAAAACAAATACTTGGAAAATGAAAATTCTTAGTCTATTACTTTAGAATAGACTAAGAAAATTAATAAACCCATGTTTTCATTTTTTTCCTTAGAATATCATTCACGTAAATTATATGGTTATTAATGATGTCTCACACTAAATCACCATGAATTTAATATTTCAAATTTTTTCGAGCATCATAAATTCAATGAAAAAGTTGCAATTTCACTAATGTCATCCAAAGTCCAAGTCATTAAATTATTATCTTAACATCAAATATTATAAATTAATTTAAAAAATTTCGGACTCCACACGGCATGAGTGGATGCACATGCTGTGGGTGGCCCCGCGGCCCAAACTAGCCGCGGCCTAGTTGTGAGTTCGAGACATAAAAGATATGATAATACAACTTCTTTTGTGTTGTTTTCTATTTCTTACACAACATTTGCGACAACATGAAACGGGTTGACAACGTGATATGGGAGTAATAAGCGTCTTTTTAGTATTCTTTTTCTTGATGAGATGACAAGAGATGAGAGTTTGAAGGTTTCTTTTGGGTTCTTTTTCTTGCTTGCTGTTTTCTTCAAAGAGGAAGAGTCGGTTGGATTTTCCTTAGAGTGCCCACCAAGCATGGTCCATTTCGCCTTTAATTAAGATAGTAATATATATATCCGCTCTAAATATGTCTTCTACACAATTTCTTCTCGACAACCCATGGACAATGGCTTTATTCTCTCCACCAAAGATTTCTTACATTCCACAACGTGCTTAAGGATTGGGACAATGCATGCCAATCTATGGTGACAATAACGTGAGTACTACATTTTTTTTTTTTGTCTTTTGGGCTCTCGTATATATATTTTTTATTGTTTTCAATGAGTAAGAACGTAAACGTGTTCGCTATCATGACATACAGCCGAAAACTAATAAATAAAATAAATATGGACGAAGTATTACTGCTGACTTCGGTGGAACAAGGGAAGGCGCTCACACAATTGCTGCATGCACACTTCAATAAACGTGGCAATCTTGACTGGTTGGAAATCGGCAAAAGGCAGCTGCAAGGACCTGATTCACTTTGGATGAGAACAACCGAATCATCCGTTTCCACTAGCCTAATTTATCAAATAGCCTCCCAGTTCCCCATGTTTGAACGAACGTTCGTTACGAATTTGATTGGGTAGAATGCCACATAAGGATTTCGTATTATTAATGGAGAAACATTTTTAAAATCGTGGCAACCGCAACGAAGAATAATATGATTCGCCAGCTGCAACAGGCATACTCGAGCAACCCAACTTCATCTAACCTCAAGTCGATCTCGTTGAGATCGTTGCAGCAGCACAGGGTGCTACGTTCAGTAAATGAAGAAAAGGCTTGTTAATGGACGAACATTTTCAAGATCATGGCAACCGCAACCAAGAATAGTATGACCCACCAGCTACAACAGTCGGGACTGATGCTCGAGCAACCCAACTTAATCGAGCCGATCTCATTGAGATCGTTGAAGTTGCACCAGGTTTTGGTGCTACGTTCAGTAAATGAAGCTAAGGCTTTCGCATCATTAATGGAGGAACATTTTTAAGATCGTGACAACCGTAACCCAAAATAGTATGACCTACCAACTGCAACGAGCAGGATTGATTGTCATATTTTTAATGGAGGAGATCGCGCCAACCACAACAAAAAATAGGATGATCGCAGGACTGATGTCGAGCAACCCAACTTAATCTAACCCTAAGCCGATCTTGTTGAGATGGTAGAAGCAACACCCAGTTAAACAAGTTAACAATAATGAATCAGCTGGCGAGGGTTGTTATTTCCTAATTGTTTGTTATCTAGTAGAATTTTTAGGGATCAACTATTATAACTTATATAGTCTGTGATAAACTTTTTCTATTCGTAGTTTCCACTTATAAATTGGAATTTTTCTCTAAATTCTTGCAAAAAAAAATTTTGTTTCGGAAAATTATGAGAAATCACGTACAATTGTACACATTAATAAAAGTCAAAAGTGTAATGTTCTAAAAGTTAGAAAAGGTAAAAAATAAAAGTCACCTAAATAGAGTTAGTTAATTTTACTTTGGGTTAAATATGCCAAAATAAGTACGTTTAATGAAGTTAAGGCATTCACAGCACTAATGCAGACACACTTTTTATTGTCTTGTCGATTGGCTTCATGGTCGAGCTTGTCGCGATTATTAAAGTGTGTCATATATTGTTTACCGTCACTATCTACATTCGTTTTATATAGAAATATCTATTAATTTAGGTATATAAAAATTAATAAATCCTAGGTTTTCATTTTTTTCCTCTGAATAAGATTTACGTAAATTATTTGGTTATCAACGATGTCACACGCTAAATGACCATGAATTTAATATTTCAAATTTTTTCAAGCATCGCAAATTCAATGGCAAAGTTGCAATTTCACTAATATCGTCCAAAGTCCAAGTCATTAAACTTTATTATCTTAACATCCTATATACTATTAATTAATTTGAAAAATTTTGGACACCACATGGCACAAGTGGATGCACATTCCATGGGCAGACCCGTGGCCCAAACTAGCCCGCGGCCTAGTTGTGAGTTCGAGACATAAAAAAGATGACAATAAAACTTTTTTGTATTGTTTTCTATTTCTTTCACCCGTGACAATATGAAAGAGGTAGACAACGTGATGTGGGAGCAATGGGTGAGTAATGGGCAATTGCGTGACTAGATGACCAAGTTGTAAGTTGTGAACATTTTTTAATATCATTTTTCTTGATGAGATGAAAGGAGAGGAGAGGAGGGTTTAAAGGTTTCTTCTAGATTCTTGTTCTTGCTTATTGTTTTTTTCAAAGAAGAATGGTCAGATGGATTCTGCTTGGGTGGTTGGTCCATTCCCCTTTAATTCATATAAGCGAAGGTGCTCACACAGTTGCTACATGCACACTTCAATAATCGTGGCAATCTTGACCGGTTGGAAATCAACGGCAACGTTGACCGAAGACACAAAGAGATAATAAGACAGCTGCATAGGGCCGGATTCACTTTGGAGTAGGACAACCGAATCATCCGCTTCTCAGTAGCCTAGTTCATCAAATAGCCTATTGTTGGTCCCTCGGTTTTGGGTGAACCCCATGTCATTTACTATATCCATGGTAAAGTGTAGATGCTTATAATTGCGTCACGCATTATGCATAAAATAATTATGCAATTTATTTTGACTTTATTTTCTTTTAAATTTGGTCGCACATCGACTTGTTCCATGCGAGTTTATACTGTATGAGCGAAGGCAATAAAGTCGATGTTGGTATCAAATCTGAAAACAGTAGACAGTTAGAAATACTCCCGCGTCTTACACTTCCTTTCTTAGTCACCTTCTCTTTTCCGGACCAGTCAATATTTTTTCGTAACGGTAGCTTCAATCAGCGAAGACGGAGAGAGACCGTTCAAAACTGCCAATTTTCTTCTCTTTTTTTTTTTTTTTAAATCATGAGAACAACACCCTCATCAATTACATGGTGCAGCCTCCCATGGTCCACCCCCATAGCACCCTCGTCGTCCCCATCAACGGCAACCTGTGCTATCTAGGACGGCCGACGTCCATGTCAACGAATTACTGGCCGGATGACTCAATTGGCAAAATTTGAAAATGTTTATGACTCAATTGGCAAAATTGACAAATGCGAAAGGTTTAGAACCGAATTGGCAAAAGTGCAATAGATTTATGAATTTTTTAAACAATTTTCCCGCTTCTTGATGCATCTTATAAGACGACTTCACCTTGTTCGGAGATGAGACATGAACCGGACCTCCTCTCTCTCTTTTCGTGGTGTTACAGCATCATCAACTTCACGCAATGTTTCGATAAAAGTAAAAACTCCACGTGATGTAGCTCACCAAACAAGAATGCAGTCTTCTCCAAGTTTGGGCTCATCTGAGTCTCTCTCTCTGGTCGGTTTTTTTCGATTCAAGATCGTTATACGCATGTCCTCTCTACGATTCAAGATTCTGATCGTGCAAGTGTACGTATGTCCTCTCTACTTTGGTTTGAATCATCCGCAAGTGTACGTAGATTACTTTTGGTACTGCAACTATCATCAGTTGCTTCAAATTAATCAATTTCAGAAGACCAGGAACATTTTGGTTTTTGTTCCTTGTTCTGATTTTTTTTGGCTTTTGTCTTTTTGTTGCCACTTTCTAGGACTGGGGAATTAGGAGTGTAGACCCGCATCCATTACGTTAAAACTCCTTAATTATTAAAGGATCCTCCACTCATATTGCTCTCACGTCCCCACGCCGTCACTCTGCAAAAAGTTTTTTCAAAACGCGAACGAAAGAGTGGAATGTAGGCACGTGAAAATTCGTTGCGGAACATGCGCAAAAGCCAACTGCTTCACACTATTAATCACAAAATTAACAACAATTTTTTCTTGCCAGTCAAATCAACAAGGAATTGACGAAAGTCCCCATCTGCTCGCGATCCTCCGCTCTCAGGAGCTCCTGATATTCCTCGAAGATCTTCTGCAACATGCTGTTGTTCTCTTCCTTGGTGTGCATCAAGATTTCGCACGAACTTGTGGTTTCTTGATGACGATCATGATAGTAGTAGCACTCATCGCTAACATTGATACGATCTTCGTCTAAAACCAACGCTCCCCAAATGTCGGAAGCGGCGCTCATCACCGACGGACCAGACAATAGATATGGAGGGAGTTGTTGCGGAAGCTGTTCACTTGGAGCTGTTCGGTTTTCTTCAATAATATTATTATTACTATTGTCGACACATGACCCCTTCAGAAAACTATTACAACCGTTGTTCCTTGCAACAGCTGAAACCCTAGTGGGCTTTGGCTGATGCACTTTGATCTTTGTCATTTTCGTCTCGCCATTTTCATTGGTCATCTCTTGCTTCTGCTTATTGATGAACGACCTGACCTTATTAGCGGTGACATTGTTCCTCTTTTTGGGCCCCTTAATGCCTCTAGTATTGCAATTCCTTTGGTGATTATCATCGTTCACTCTCTTGCTGAGGTGGGAATTCCAGTAGTTCTTTATCTCGTTGTCTGTCCGGCCCGGCAATCTCCCAGCTATGAGGGACCAGCGGTTGCCAAGCAGGGCGTGGAGGCGGACGATGAGGTCTTCCTCGTCCGGGGTTACGTTCCCGCGCTTGATGTCAGGTCGGAGATAGTTCATCCATCTTAGCCTGCAACTCTTCCCACATCTAAGTAATCCTTCACAAGGCCAAAAGAAAAAGTAAGGAAAAAGAGATGCCATGGCCGACGAATACAAAATTCAACTAAATTCATACAAAAATATATGTTATTTAAAATTCACCTGTTGCATCGTTTAGTAAACAGATATATCTTTAAAAAATTTTACTGCACATGGCAGTCTTTAAGAGATGGGGAAGGCTATTGAATGAAAAGATTCCCTAAAAGTATTGCATTAGCGACATTATGAAAGTTTTTCCATCGGTAAGATCAATCATTTCGCCTCCGGACTAATGTTTCCAAAGGAATTAATCAAGGTCACTCAGCAATATCCATGGCACTGCTTTGGAAAAACAAAACATCTTCAGCCTTTCAATAACCATTTTAGAGAAAATGAACCGTTTGAATATGTCATCAATGATGCACCACCCTTATTTTCCAAATTGAGCAAACTCTAGGTGGTTCTTCAGACAGCAAAGAGATAAGGTTATGTTACTGCCGGAACTTCTGGGGCTCATTAATAGGTCGATAAGAAAATTTGTGAGTGAACTTAATTAGCAACAAAGAACCTAACTGCAACTCTCTTCACCCTCAGGCCACCCAAACCCTGCCATTGGCCGTCGTTGTCGCGCTGCCACCATGTCACCATTGCCGATGGCAATATTCTGACTAGTGACTCCATCTCTCATGACTCCCGCGACTACCATTCTCTCTTCTCCGACCATTACTCTCTCTCTCTCTCTTGCGAACCCAGTCAAGCAAATTCTATCATGCAAAAATTTAATGAAACCACATCTTTTATATAGGTGAATGAGTGTGTGTCTACGTATGTTTATGAAATACCTGCTCTTTTAGGCATGGATTTCCAATGGCCTTCTCCATGAGCTTGAATATATTTAATGAGCAACCCGTCTTCCTTAACAGACCAAGGCCCTCTGTGCAAACCCACCTTTGAGCAACATGGAGCTCTTCCCATTCTTTCTTTCCTTCTTTCTTAAACCTCTCTCTCTCTCTCTCTCTCTCTCTCTCTCTCTCTCTCTCTCTCTCTCTCTCTCTCTCTCTCTCCTGATCTTCTAATTCTCTGTGAAGGCTTATTACATACAGATATATGCGGAGAGAGAGAGAGCTCTACATAAGTGCACTAGGAGAAGGAGAACCTTGTCTTCCCTTTTTATACTCAACAATTTGGAAGAAGCTCCAGAAAAATTAAAATACTGAAGAGATTTAAGAGGGAGCTCTTGAGGACCAATCTAGTTGAAATGACGTATATTCGAAAACTTAAGCCATCAAATTACGGGCCAACTATATACGCCGTTCTGGTTTTAACTAACAATCCAATGTTGGACTTTTTTTCCTTGCACGAGTCTCATGTGCGTGGATGGACCGATCTCTCTCCACTTGCTTATTATAACTAGAAAGGGGCCGATCCAGCTTAATGTCTTGAATTGTTTTATCACAAGCTCCATGTCCTGATATAGCCAGACTCTAGTTTCTGGACATTCCCTTCGATGGGAAGCGCGTCGATACCATAATTGTACGCATGACAGAAGCATTGGGCATGTGATGTCTGGCAATTCAAGGGATCCATTTAAGTGCTTCCATTTATCACAGATTATCATGCAAGATAGTTTGGACAAAGTCAACGCTGCATCATTACCGATAACAAGATCCATAAAAATTACTTGTAAGTAATCAGAAGCATTTAGAAAAAAGCAGACCATAAAGTTTTAGACCTTAAAAGTGACGATTATCGTCTCAGAATCTTAAAACCGATTTAATTGTAAATTTTTTTAATTTGATCAATTTAATCCTAAACATTTTAACGATTTACCAATGTAGTCCTCTTGGTCAATTTTATCGAAAATTGCTAATGTGGTGGTCTAGTCAGCATCGGCCGTCTTGCGTAGCATGATCGGCACAGGACAACCAACGCTGACGTGAACAATTTTTACACTTTTTTTATTTTTGAATTTTACATTTTTTTCATTTTTTCATTTTTTCACTTCGCTAGGCCTGAGCGATGGTCGGTGGAGGTGACAATCCCTTGCCCAGATTTAGCAAGGGCTATAGCCGGCGAGGGCGTCCTAGCCATCGTCGAGGCCCCAGCAAGCGGCAAAGGGAAATAGGACAAACAAAAGAAAAAGAAATTTAAAAATTGCACAAATTGTCAACGTTAGCGATTACCGGCCAAAATTGGTCAGAATGACTATATTGGCAAATCGTTAAAATGTTTAGGATTAAAATGTCTAAATTGAAAATTTTAGAAATGAATTGGCATTCAAATAAGAAGTTTTTAGTAATTTTATCCACAACTCTCTCTCCCATGTATCGATCAGTGAGTCTTCCTCTCCCAAAGTCACGCTTGTTGTCTGGACGTAAATGGTTGGAATTGCATCTTTTGCGAAAAAAGTAAATGGCAATTTGGCCAGTGAGATAGAAACTCGAGGCATTGCGCGTTGTTATCAAGAGATGTCTTCAAAAACATTGAAAATAGATTCCATGAATGAGGCTTAAGTACCAATTAACATTTTCTCATAGCAATAATTACACCACTAACTAAGATACAAATTCGAGTTAATAAAAGAATCCTCGGAGCATCATAGGCTGACGATCTTGCCATGATTGCATCGTCTTTCACATCTAAATAATTGTATTCCCCGCATCATTTTGGTCCCTTTCCATCGGAGGAAAAACATGTTAGATTATGGCGAGGCTCGAGCTCAACTAACGTTCTCGATCATCTGTCCTTCCTTGCATCGGGTGTAGTGGAAAGCCTCTTGTTTTTTACATCAATTATTCTAAAGAGAAAGCGACGACGTTACGGCGTTGGGTTGATTTCACCATAAGCATCGTCACAACTCATATAATAATCATAAGTTTAAGTACCCTCTTGCCCATTTGGCGTTTTGTGATTAGGTAAAATGCGATGCATGCTTCATAGGGTTGGGCTCCTATTAATTGCTTTCATCAGGATTCTTTGCCTTGGCTCATTGCCCGAGTGCGGATTACCTAAAAGATATCAAGAAGGTAATATAAATTAAGAAAGGGAGAGGTTCTCTCCTCTTCCCACAACTTTGCAGTACAACATTCAACTGTGTATGTATAGTTCCAAAACTATAGTAAAACGCAGTGTTAATGATAGGACCAATATGGATCTAGCATGTGCTTTGAGATGCGATTTCAATCACATGTTATTAGATTCACATTAGCCATGCAAGGACCCCGCATGTGCGTGCGTGCGCCAGCGAATGTGCCAGCGGAAAATTATTGTCTCGATAACAAAAGATTTTGGAATATTGAAAGATTCATATAATTTTCCAGCAGAATTCGATTAAAATTCGACTCTAGTAAGCCACCAGACCCCTCTGGAATGGTAGTGAAGTAATGTGAAAGGCATAAATCAAGTCATTAACGATTGCAACGTGAAAAATGTCATAAAGACTGTTTTCTTTTTCTAAGGAAAAGAAAAATGATATGATGTGTCCCTATTCAATGATGCACACGATTATAAAGTGCGCGTAAAATATCACGGATGAGCTTGTAATGTTTGTCTGAATCATAGCACCAATCGCTATCAATTACATCCGCCGGCTTCAACGATTGGGCAATTCAATTTTCTATGAAGCACTATTCAAGTTCATCGAGAGAAAGGCCATGTGTAATGATTAAGTTAGTGCATGATTAGATGAAAAGGAAAGATGTTTCGTGCGATCATGGGATGTACACAACTAACTTTATATGAGCATATACGTATTTAAGAAGTATATACAAGGTTCCATCATCCGAGATCTCGTTCATAGCATGTCTTTTGATTATAGAGTAAGCACGTGCATTGCTGAGAAAGAGAGACTGGTAGGAGCTATCGTCCCTTGGCCATTGGAATTTCAGTCATCTTTTCCTTATTGTATCGAGTGGGTTTCCCTCGGGAAATCCAAGGTACTTACTAGCAAATTCCATGTCCATAATTGGCCGTTGATTAGTGAGGAGAACCTCCGGCACAAAAAGAAAAAGGTGGTACATGAATCAGAACGAGGTTGCTTAGCTTGCAATCAAGCCTAGTTTCGTTCGTTCCCTGGATGAGCTTAACTCCGCGTAATTTGGTCTTTTTTAGGACATGACGTGCGACATGTATGGACCGACCAGGTTACTAGACCCACGTTCAAGCTCTAATTCATTAACCCAAATAAACCGATAGCATTGGCCTGCTAATTAATCTGCATACTGCTCTAACCTAAGTAGATTTACGTTTGAACCACCAATCACTCGAACGTCTTGTTGGGTCTTCATCTAATGTATGAATTCAACAGCGTATTATTATACAGGCTCGGCGTTTACTAACTCGTGGTGGGTTTTCTGTACGTCTAAAGAAGCAAACAAGCGAAGCAAGCGAGGGTGAGTGTTTTGCTGATGGAATCATGAAAATGTCCCGCGGGCGCCTTTGTCCGTTCTTCGCCCGATCGGACACGTGGCCCAATTACTTTGGAGGTGAGCCTTTGTTTTTTCTTACGTCATAAATATGAACTATATTACATATATATATAGCTTTATTGGGAGAAATTGCACTTGAACTTTATTTCTGTAAACTTGGATGTGTCACGGATTTGAAAATTACGTGGAGTGGGAGTCTGCAGTCACGAAAAGGACGCGAGCGCATCCGACATTAATAATGTCATGCCACCAATAGAAATTTGGGAATTTGAGTTTGCTTTTAGCTGCATGTCGTATCTAAGTTTGCCCTGCCGTTTGGCTTTGCTATCTACATGCACGGATTAATTTTAGGTGCCGAAGATATACGATGGTCTCGTCCATTCAAGCCAATCCTAGCATAGTGTCAAACAAGTGCCTTTGAAGAACTTAACCCTGATAAAGAGAGGAAAAAAAGAAGAAGAAGAAGAAAGAACTTCACCACCTCGCCAGAGTCCAAGAGCCTGACATTACGATATACTTGAGGTTGCGCCGATGATGAACTCCCACATGATTCCGGATGCGCAAGTCGGAAGATGAAGCGAGCACAAGGCAACGCGAAACTCCTAAAGAAGCGTACATAAGTCAACAGTGCTTGCGTCTCAGAGACGGTTTTTCTTGACTATGCTAAGCACATGATGCTCCATTCATTGCAAAGTCTAAGCTCTCGGAAGCCTAATGATGTATAGTCAGCTCCACCCAACTAAGTGATGCAAATTAAGTTCACAAAAAGAACAGCAGACCTGCCATGTATGCTGCCCGCATCAGTATGTGATCGATCAATCTCCGCTCGCACAACCCCTGCAACCGCAATGAACGCACTCTATCACCTTCTCCTCCCTCAAGTGCTTGGGCACTCGACACGCACATGTTGTAGCAAAATTGTGGTCACGAGGCTGCATGCAGCGTAGGCAGCAGAGCCGCTCATAACCCGGCTGCAGAGTAAACAAAAGAATATGTAATGTACATCATATCATACCCATCAGTGGACTGGAAAATACTCGACAACAGATACATTCCTAAGAAAGAGGATCACACCACTTTCTGTTTAAAAGCCAACAGCCGAGATGGTCCAAAATGCTTCCATGACCATGGACCACAAGTGTAGAGAAATTTTAAAGCAGCATCAATCACTTCGCCTCAGAATGCAAGAGTGAAAAAAGGAAATGAAAAAGAACAGGACTGATATTAGCTGAAAAATCCCATTCTCGCATTCACTGCTTTTTTCTTTGAAGATATTTCCCCATACCGGGCATGACAAGCTGATTACCGACAAATTAACTGCTTTAGCATTGGTTGTCAGATGAAGTAGTCATTAAGTTTGGAAACCATCAGAAATAAGAACCCAGCATCATGCTAGCATGCTAAAGTTTAGATAACCAGACTGATAACAAGAGGACTTACCATAATTCAATTCCCTTACCTAAAGCTCCAAAACCTTTTTTTGTTTTGCTACAAAGCTCTAACACCTTGTTGAACAACTATTTTTCGCAAAAAACTTACAGCTAGCAGGAAGTGTGTCCACAGTGCGTATCAACCATATAACTTAACAAGAGTAAATGACAGATTTTCAACCATAATTGTTAAATCAGGATGCGTGTTGTGAATTGAGAATCGAATCGAATCGAATCGTAAGATTCGGCAAAGTACCTTCAAATGATAGCTTCTCCATAGAGATATGTATGTTTAGAAAGTCACAGGATATTAAATTTTGAGTAAGATTCAATTAGATATGAGAAAGAACTCTCGACTTCAAATACTTGATATTGTGTTCCCACTTTTATATATAGGAAGATATAATTTTTCATTGTTTCATTAACACGAGAAAGAAATATAAATATAAATCATACATCTTGATATCTTGTCTTGTTTATAAATGTATTGTAAGTATAAATTTACTTCTAATTATTCTATAACCGTCAAATTACAGCATGAGGATAAAGTACGACAAAAATATCATTACCTGATAGGTAAATATACAAGAAATTATAAATTAGTTGAATCGATAGATATGTATAGTAAATTCCCTTGCAATTCAGGATATCACTGATCCACCTTATAGATACATGTCGTGTAGACCTTAAATCGAATCAAATGGGCATGATACGTATCAAGAATCGACCGATTCTGATGAATATGTTTTCAACTAACAACCGTAAAGATCCTAGCTGAACGAAACCAATAAGAGCAGCAAACACCATCAAGACTAAAAAGGGACCAAGACCAACCTTCTTCCACTTGGCAATTAGGTTTTTGTCGGCATAACCCTGCTCCAAGCAGAACTCATACAATTCTTTCGAGATTTCTTTCCTGCTGTGATACAAATCGAATACATATCGGCTTTTCTGGTGAGCAATCTTGAAAATGGGCCACAGTGCCTCGCATTTGCGCTTGCCATCATGAGGATCATTTTCAGCTGTCCACAATTCACAACATTCAGCCTGACAAAGTCAATCTTCTAAGAGACAATGGTTATACACACAACAAAAAATAAATAATGAAGATCATTTCGTGTCAAATAACTTGAGCCACAGATGATATATAAACATTCTCTGCCATGATTTAAAATCATCAACCAGCTCCAACAATTCAAAAGCGATTATGCAAAAAGAGCTAAATAAAATAGAGAATTATAAACCTTCCCTCATCTTAGCTTGCAATTCTCGAAGCGTGGGTTCTATCAGTTCCCATCCTTCTGGGTATTTAACGTGATTGGTCTTCACTTTAGGCATAGTCCTGCCTGAATCAAATGCAAAAAGAAACTATCAACAAGCAACTTCACTCTCACTGATCAACTTCTTCCTTTGTACCTTCTAAATCGCCCACTTCTCAACTGCCATATCTACTTAAAATAGGAAAGTATGCCTTCCATTTCAACACTCTCCCAAGTCATCGACCAAAATGTGATATCTTAGAAGTACTATCTCATTCAACAATAGTCAAAAAGTCTTTTTTGTTAGATTGTCTTTGCAACAACTGTTGCTCAAACTGCCGTTCAAACATCCATAACTTTCAACCATTAAAGAAAATTTTTTATCAGACTAGTTCTTGAAATTATCATAGTACATTTTGCAAGAGCACTCCTGTTTGGCATTTTCAGAAAAGAGCAGAGACAATGTGAAAGTATTCACAGTTATTTCCACAGCAAATCCTGCTCTATCGTCTCCAGTTATTCTCCATTCCAAAGTGGAGGAACCTCAAATCAGCACATTTCGTCTACCAGCTAAAGAAATTGCAAGGAAAGCGTATTGCAAGTTATATACCTAGAACAAATCTCAATGACTGAGAGTGCCGGCGAATTGTCATCGACAGCGGCAGATGAACCAATTATCATATCGAGAAACTCAGCTTATTAGTAATTGCTCCACGGCATTCAAAATAGCACGACGCCGAATAAAATGTTAGCACCGTTGGGTCTCGGGGGTTCAATGAGAAATCAGTATCCAAACGGATCATATATATTCAGATTGTCAAATTTCACTGTCCGAACTTACCCCGATGAACAACTGCACAACAATAATATAGCGGGAGAAAAGGGCAAGCCTACGCAATGCTGTGCACAGAATCCGCGGAAAAACTAGGCCTGGAAGCAGAAGCACTAGCCTCTAATTCAATCGATACCATGAAATTTCTTGTCGTGAAGCAGAGCAGACGACAGTCAAAGGCTGTGAACCTCGGATTTCAAGGGCCTACCAACTATGTGTTGGCAGTTTCCACCGTCAGCACAACAAGGCAAGGCAATACTTCGACAGCTAGACTCACCCATACGAGGACAATTGCAAGCACCATCGAAAAGATGCCTCCAAGAGCAGCATTGAATTACTGTGTCCGACAGAATGTAAGTTCATGTTCACCGAGAGAGAGAGAGAGAGGACCTGAAGAGAGAAGCAGTCCAGACGGCGGCTGGAACGAGTTTGTGTGTGTGTGTGTGTGTGTGTGTGAGAGAGAGAGAGAGAGAGAGAGAGAGAGAGAGGAGAGAAATACCATTTATTTTTTAGGGATAAGCGGAATAGAAGTCATAAAATTTATCGCCAAAAGCATAATTAAGTCCTACAATTTATTAAAAAAAGTACAATCAAGTCATAATTTTTGTTAGTATTTTCCGTTTATCAAATTGGACGGAGCTAATGAAAAGACTTTTTGAAAGCTTTAGATCTCATTTGCACTTTTGCGACAACTTATAGGACTTTGAATACACTTATCTCCATTTTTTTTAGGGTTAATACCATCGAAAATCCCAAACTGGTACGCGTGTGACAATTTTACCCCGAACTTTTTTTTTTTACCACTAAAAACCCCAAACTGGTACACCTGTGACAATTTTATCCCAAACTTTTTTTTTTACCACCAAAAACCCCAAACTAGTACACCCGTGATAATTTTATTCCAAACTGGTAAATTCGTGACAAATTTACCCTAAACTATTTTTTTGACCACGAAAAACCCCAAACTGGTACACTTGTGATAATTTTACCCCGAACTAATAATTTTTTAATATTATTTTTTGATTTTTTTTTTTTTTTGATTTTTTTTTCTTCATCTTCAACCTCTGGCCGGTTGCCCGACCGGTGACCGGCCAGAGGCGGAAGCCGGTGAGGTCGGCCCCGCCGGCCGGCCTGGCGAGGCTCGACCTCGCCGCGTCGAAGCGAGGGCTATCCTCGCCCGCCAGTGCAAGGTCGACCCTCGCTCGACTCGGGCTGGGCGCCCTTGCGGCGTCGCACGGCGAGGGCGGCCTCGCGGCCGTGAGGGCCGGCCCTCGCCGCGTCCCGAGCTATCCGTGGGCGAGGCGACCCTCGCCCAACTTGCCCGCAGTGCCCTCGCCCGATCGGCGTTGGCCGAGGCGGGCGCTCGTCGCCGCGGCCCTCGCCGGCGTCGGGCGAGGCATCCTCGCCCAAGTCGGGCGCGGCATCCTCGCCCTACGCGGCAAGGGTCGCCCCGCTAGATCCGGCGAGGGCAGCCCTTGCCTGCGTCGGGCGAGGGTCACCCTCGCCCGACGCTGGCGAGGTCAAGCCTCGCTAGCAGCCGGCGGGCCCGACCTCGCCGGCTTCCGCCTCTGGCAGGTCACCGGTCTGGCGATCGGCCAGAGGTTGAAGATGAAGAAAAAAAAAAAGAAAGAAAGGAAAAAACAAAAAAATTAATAAAAATTCGAAAAAATAAAAAATAATATTAAAATTTTAGTTCGGAGTAAAATTTCATGCTATCAGAATTTAGTTAAAATTGTGCAATTTGGGTTTTTTGTGGTATGTTCAGGGTAAAATTATCACAAGTGTACCAGTTTGGGGTTTTTGGTGGTAAAAAAAAAAGTTCGGGGTAAAATTGTTATACGCGTACCAGTTTGGGGTTTTTAGTGGTATTAACCCTTTTTTTATATTTACAGGTAATATTTTGTAAATTTTTGAAATTTGCAAAATATTTTAATTTTTGGTGAAAATACAAGAATTACTTTGTGCTTATATTTAGTGCTAAATATATAAGCCCAAAACTTTGCATTTAGAAGTCAATAACAATGATATTTAAAGTACTTTGAGTTTATTCTCGTGAATATATCGAGACATTCTAATTCTCTTTTCGTTTTCTTAAAGTCAATTTAGACGTGCTCAAAAGCTTTTCAAAACAAATGGTGAGAAGAAACGGGAATATAAAGAAACCAGCAAAGCTTCAATGCCAAATAGACTGGCTTTCACAAAGAAAAAACTTAGTTCGTCAAGATCGAGAGCTTTCACATTTGTTGAAACGAGTGATTACTCTTCGCTACACATGCAATTTTGTTGCTTAAGCTCGCGCAAAATGGATTTCCTTTTCGACGTAAGGTAAAAAAAAAAAATTAATTAAAATCGTTCTCAAAGTGGTGCTAATTTCTCAAAGCTCTCCTTAAAATGGGCTTTGTTTCAAAACATTTGGAACGTGGTAATTTTCTCACTAAACACTTTGAACTCGCTATCGGTGAAAATTAATGCCAACCAACAAATGCGGTGCTCGTCATGCGCGCCTTTTGCACCTTTCCTAAGGGAATTTTGGTTAAAAATTAAATCGCTAAGCCCCATTCCACTCACGTTCGCCTTTCTTAGGAGTTCATTAGGGTAAAGTTGCGACATTCGAAAATAGTTTAGAATAAAGCCCGCACTATGCGAGAAATTTTTGGGAAATTGGCACAACTTTAGGGGATTTTTTTTCTTTTTTTTCCAAAAAAAAATGTAATCTCACCGTTATTAACAATAACGCCCACTAAAAAATAACACAAATTTGAAATTTATTTTAATCGAGTTTCGGCATAGATTTGGTAATATACGTTTTGCTTTTGCCAGCTCTACATTTATAAATGTTTATTATTATTACTATTATTATTATTATTAGACTTTTGTCATTTTGAGGGCAAAAAGCCCTAAATTCCCACCACCTGTGTTTGTCCTGGAGGAGGACTCCTGTTCAGCTCCATTTCCACCGTTCCCCCAAATCCTTATCTTTCCCGAACTGTGTCGTCCCCGCTTCTCCTCTTACTCTCGAATTGGTCTCTGCAAAGATCCGACGAGAGAGCACAGGCGAAGCGTCTCAGCTCAACCCAAGCGAAGTTTCGGCGAGCTACCGACCGGCCTTGATCCCTCCGAGAGGAAGGAGCGATGAAGCTTTCGAGGCCCTGTTTTGAGTAAGATGGTTAATCTCTGTTGTTACCCATTTGATGAAGTTCATTCATTCGAGAAAATAGAGGTACCCTTTTGATGTTAGCAGCTCATTTGTTATTGCGAGCATGTCTTCTTGGTGTTGCTGGTTGAGTTTTCGCTTAAAGGAAAGATTTTTTTTGAGCTTTTCCTGAGTATCGTCGTGCCTATGCCCTCTGCTGTGGGATTGAGTTCGTCGAAATCGCGGCGGCCGGAAAATGCCAAATTGGACGTTAACGCCGATAAATAGCCATTAAATGTCCACACTGGACTCCGATACGGTCTCTTGAAATGATGCCGCCTCAACAGAGACATATCGGACCGCCAAGTCAATGCTCTCTCTCTCTCTCTCTCGCTCTCTCATCACCGAATTCCTAGATAGAGTTTGACATAATTTTTGCTGAGTAAATGAGACACGTCAACAATTGGGTTTGACTTTTGCTTGGCAAGCGACTCGCCATAGTAAAATCACACGACATGGGATTTATTTAGGGATACTTTACATCGAGTTAAATTTGAAAAAGTTAAGGCACTTGATTGGACAAAAGAGAAAAAAGTTTAGATTGTTAAACGGATAGATGTTTAGATACTTATTGAGTCTTTATCCCTGGAAATTAATGAGTCAACAATGTGGTGACTGGTGAGAAGAATAGTTTGGTCCTTCATGTCGCTTGCTTTTGAACTCCGTGTCTGATCTTGTGAAATGGAAATCTGAGATGCCCTGGTTGTCTCTTAGGTCATGATATGATACATTTCATCGAACTTTTTAGTTCTTGAGGAAATCATCAGACTTTAAAACTGTCGCCAGGTTAATGAATAAGCATATATTTCCAGCTGGCCAATATTCATGTCTTACTCGGATGAGAAGAAATTTACAGCAATTCCCTTAGGAGAGGTAGTGGTTGCTGTGGTAGGGTTGATCTTAGCTGACTTGAGATAGTATTTGATCAACATAGCTTAAGAAGCTCCGTCTATTGCAGCGATTTGAAATTACTAATTAAATCATCTTAGAAAGGTTTTTTTTTCATGGATCGTGAATGACTCGAGAACTCTGGGAGCTTGCTGTTGCCAAGCCATATGGTGCCTATTCAGCTCTAGAATTTACTTTATAACATGATGTTTTAAGGTTCCTGGTCTTGTAGAGCCTCGTACATTGACTAGATGTAGAGATATTTCTGGTTATTGCCTCCCTTTCCTATACCGTTATAGAAGTTCTCTCACCCAAAACTTTACTGAAACATCTGCAGGTTGATTTATCTCATTAGATCGTTAATGCTTTGTAATGGTGGAGGACGGTTTACGCTTTCAACTCCATGAATCATGAACCCGTTTGTTAGCACTTCGATGTATGGAGTCTACCAGAGAACATGAGCCCTGCAGACTTGGTGTGCGAGTCACCAGTGACGTCAGATTATGCCTCTTGAATAATGAAGGAAGATCTGAACTTTTCTACTGCCATTCCTCCATATTGACAGAGAAGAGCAAGTTCTTTGCAGAAAAACTCTCTTCTTTAGATTCCACGACTTGCATTGAAATTAACTGTTCGAAGCTAGACTATGATCACCATGTCAAACTTCTGGAGTTGCTTTATTTACCTTGCGAGTCGCATTTGGGCTTCTATGGCTCTGTGAAATCTGCTCTCGGTATACTTCAGGTAGCAATTGCATTTCAATGTGAAGAAATCACTCACAGCTGCGTCCAGTACCTGGAGGCCATTCCTTGGGACAACAAGGAAGAAGAGGAGATAATGGAAGCTGCATCCAAGCTTGGTCCGCTCGCCGTGCCGATATTAGCCAGGATTCAACCAGTTGACTTTACGGTCGCTAAAAGTGTTTTTGTTTCTGCATTTCATTTTGCCACATCCACTGCTGGGCCCTGTCCTCCATTCGGAGAGGAGCTCAAAAGTTCAGCCCAAGAGCAAATAGAATTCATGCTACGGGAAGATGAGGACATGCCATTAATCACTGTTGATGACGAGGTAAAATCAGTTGTTAAAAGGGGTCTTTCTTTTATGTTCTCCTCATTCGAAAGCAAGTTGTCCTCCTTGCTTAATGAATCGGATCTTGCGTCCAAGACAGCAGAGGCCGATATATTGCAGGGTTTAAGCGATATTGATTGGATGAGTGACATACTGCCGAAAATGGAGCTAATGAAGGATTTTGTCGCAATGTGGGCAGAAACCTCTGAAAATATTTTGGGAATCGTTGAAGACCAGAAGCTCAAGTCTGTAATGTGGGGTTTGAAGCTAAAGCTGATAGAAGTGTGTGGGAAAGTCTTGGAAGCAGTCGGGTACGGAAACGTGATCCTTCCAGCTGATTTTCGGGTGCAGATACTTAAACTGTGGCTCCCTTTTATAAGAAAAATGAAACCTCTTCTAGATTCAAAGAGTGATGAGGAGGCCAGTTTTCCTTATAAAATGGATGAAGACTTGTGCCAGAGCATTGAAGGTGCCATTGTCTCGTTCGTATTAGCACTGCCATCGAACGATCAAGCTGATATCCTGGCAGATTGGATGAAAGCTGAGCAGGTGAAGTATCCCGACTTAACCGAGGCCTTCGAAGTATGGTGCTATAGGACCAAATCTGCAAAGAGGCGGTTGACAGAGACAGTGGACGAGGTTGATGATGCCCCTATCAGCTTGTGATCTGTTATGGCGCCGTTTTGACCAGTTCTAAATGAGTAGATCGAGCTTGAAGGTCCAGTGGGTACGTCTAGCTCTAATAGAGTTGGTCCTTTTTGCATGGGCGTTTCTCACCTCTACTAAGAGCACCTTCAAAATGAAGTTTCAATCCACAAGATGAATAGGATACAACAGAAAGTGGTTTCGCATAATCATGCGAATTGCTTGATCTTGCCAAAGTTGCAATCAGGAGAACTGGATAACGAAGTATATATACCTGGTGCCTTAGACTAAGTTTCTTGTGAAAGTATTCAGCTAATTTTAATCTAATAACTGCACGGAGTGTACCATCAAGTTATGGTTCCTCCATTACAAGCTGACATCTCAAGGAAGTAAAACATTTTGGCAAGGTGTCCTGACACATCATTCCTACTGTACTTCTTTTATGCCTGTTTCAACATGACCATATTGATCGTTGGGTAAGATGCAGCTACTTGTATTGTATCACAGATACAGCTGAATTTGATTTTCCTTTTCAAGCAATAAGATGCTTATTGCTGAAGAAAAGAAACCTTGTGCAATCGCTCATTGTAAACCTGCCTTTCCTGCAATTTTATGAGCTAAATTTCTTTGATTCTTGCCATTGCCTGTTCCTCAATGTGTTGTTACCTGAATTGTTTTGAGCACAGCTCATCACTATGGAGGGTCACTGCAACTCTCCCTTTCGTGGTTATCACCAAGTAGTCCGCTCATCTTTGCAAACGAGGGTAGTACATTCAGTTTTGATGCTAAGGGTTTATGCATGGAACTATTGCACTCTTTTCAGTTTTTTGGCCCGACTATTTCTTAGACTTTAATGCGCATCCATGGACTCTGGAGCTAATGAAGGCTTCGTTTGATGACTATCTTATGAGACCTTTTGACATCATCGTCCCTCCACTCTGTCCGACTAGATCACCGGATTTCGCTTGTGACACCCCGGTTTCTTTGTATCGTCTTCTGTTCTAGTTCGCATTATAGTTCTGCACGAGGAAAAGATCAAGCTAGTTTGGCAAGAGTTTGCGATCTCTAACCCTCCAGGTTGCTGGCTGAAGGAAAACGCAGGCCTCCCGAAAAATATGCACGTCATCAATAAGAGGATCACTTTCACTTGTGGAAATAACTTTTAAGTCTGTCAACTGCTTCATGGAGAAATCTTGGAAAGCTCTTTGACGGATCACTGCTTATTGCAAAAGGGATTATTATTAGGTGGTTCAAGCTGATATTGAACATTTAATGATTGTCAAGTAGTCAGAACCAACAGCAAGATTAATCAAGTAAAGCTCACCTTGTACCCCATACCATTTCAGGATAAACCTTCCCAAAATAAGCTTTTACAGCAAAGCTCACCTTCTCTGCTTCAAATCTTAACCCTCAAGAAAGAATCATATTCCAAAACTGGGTCAGATTAAGTCCTTGGTCGGCTCTCTGCATTTCGAAAAATCTATGAGAGAGAGGGAGAGAGAGAGAGATTATCAAGTCTCTAATTCTTGTAGGCATAGTTCAAAACAGAAATATTAGATCAAAACATTAACTGCAATATGAGTTTTATCTTAGTTCATACGACATTTGTTTCACCGACAGCGAATTTAATCAAAATCCTCAAGGAACGATCTTGAGCCACATCATCCCGTGGCAGCTCGAAATACTGACTCAAACTCCACCATTTCATTAAATCACACGAGAGGAAGTCTTAACCCTTGCGCCATCCTTTATAGATGCATATCCTCTCTTCTTATTGAGCCCGCAATTTCCACATACATGAGATCCGGGCACTCGTCCATCGTGCGAGAGTAAGTCATAACCCCTACATCATCCTTTATAGATGCATATTCTCTCTTCTTATCGCGCCCGCAATTTCCACATACATGATATCGGGGCACTTGTCCAACTTGATTTTGATTTCTGAAAACAAAACAACTAGTGGCACGTGTTAGCAAGTGACATATATCTTTTCAATGAACTTACTTAGAGGATCTCCATCTCCTTGATAATCCTGTCATCTTTTGGCCAAACCTAAGTGGCTAAGCCACATCACTGTTTTGTTAGAGCTGTACGTTATAGTTTACTGTTTGTTCGCTTAAATGAACACGAGTCTCATTATTTTCTGCGAACCTACAAGAAACTATGCAAAAACCCAGATGACACTTCCCCTCCCAACATGTCCATCTAGAATCAATGTTAGAAAAATGGACACCTGTCCACAAAGACGACCGTAATTAGGGGGGGGGGAAGGGATGGGCATCCTGTGCCTTTACTGCAAGACTAAAGTGGCTTCCAGCAAAGAACAGAAATTAAAAACAACCCCGTTTATTTAATAAAGAACATTAGTCATTTAATATTAATAATAAGAGGAAGATGGAGCATCCAGATCTAGACGGATCCACTTAGTGGAAAGCATAATTCCCTCTCTGCACACTTGCCCAAGAGAATGTTTTCGTGGGTCCCACGAAGACCCCTAAGGAAAGGAAGCAGTGTGTGTGTCAGATTATCTTTCTCCCTAATCTTCTGCTGAATAAAGAAAATAAATAAACCATATGAAGGGAAAATAAAGGAGAAATGGTCGTGGCGATGCTAGGAAAAGCAATATGATATGATCATTCGTGGCAACATGAAGGAGAGTCTTTCAAAGGATGTTCCGGGAATAGAATTTCGGTGGTTGAAACTTTTGGTTGAGGCAGGTTTGATGGCCATTCTTTGACATACTTGGCTCCGATTCATTACTTCCTTTACTGCTGTCATATATGACAAGTTAACAAGGTCTCGAGAGCACGTGTCGATCATGCTTGATATGGAAATATTTTGATTTTCGCGAGACACTGAGTACGCATGACACGAGAGAGACGGTCGATTGCAAACCTAAAACTTTTGTTATGAGGTTGTTTAACAAGTGCATTGGAGGAACATTAACAAAACCCTAAATAGATTAAGGAAAGCAAAAACAATGGATTAATATGATATACACATCGACATGCGTAAAAATTTCCTTTACACGAGCTGTTCTGGATAAATACTATGTGAATTCTATAACGTGTTTTAGAAGCAGAATCGATCGAGTGTGCCCACTTTTCCATGTAGACGCTAATTGTCTTTGAAATAAAAGTCCCAAAAGATTTCGATTGACTTTTGTTTGAAGATACTTGTTCAAGCTTATATAACGGAAAAGTTTTATAATATCGAAAATGAGTGGAGCGTGATGATAATTTTCACGTGTTACAAGCAAGAGTAATTATGCAAAATCCACTTTTTTCTTTGTAATTCAGATTGATTGCTACATACTAAGGGTTCTAAGAACAACCGTTAATTCTTATTAAAAAAAAAAGAACAACCGTTAGTATATCTTTAGGGGGAAAACGTTGAAATGTATAGGCTTCAAAGCTACGGGTTCGGTAGGTTCGGTCATTCATAGTACAAAGAAACTGCCTTTGACAGAGTTGACATGTTCTCCACTTTTGACAGCACCAGGTTGGTTAACCTGAAATTACTCGATAATTTGTCAGAAACTCTTAAAAAGAAATGATTTTACATCATATTGTTCTTGCTTATTCTTTAGCTGCCACTTCTGGAATTCATGTGGAAGGACCACCGGTGGACAGACCTTCAGATCTACTCAGATTGTACTCAATGAATGGAGGAGGAGAGAAACTATTCCAAGACTAATATTGCAGACACTAAAAAACTTTAATTACAATATGATTTTCTAGACTCCTATTAGGTGATGGAATATGTTTCATTAATCTAAATGCTGCAGTGTAAACCGGTTCGTGTATTTCGACCAAAAAAAAAAAAAAACCAGTTCGTGTATCCTTAACGAGTAAACATTAATCTTCTGATTAGTCGGATGCAATCAATACAAGCTCAAAGAAAAGGAAAAGAAAAAAACATCTACATAGGATCAGATAATGGAATATGGTGCTCAGTAGAAATATTAGGAACTATATAATTCATTGAACTAATTGCGCAATTACAGCAAAACATGTCTAAATTTAACCCAAAGCCAAACATCAAACATACATAAAACTCGGGTTACTTTTTACTCTCACTCACTCTCTCTCTCTCTCTCTCTCTAGTGGGGTGTGGAAGATGAAGGATGAAATGATGGGCAAAATTCATGCCCTCACTCCCTCAAATGCCCTAAAAAATGGGCTTTGATCAACTCACCTTTTTGAATCTGTATCGCCCTTCGATTCAGTCATACATGCACAGGGAAGCTTTTTGATCTTGAAGCTGAACCCTACACACTAAAGGAAAGCTTCAATTCCCTCCAACAATCTTCATCAGGCCAAGAAGATGATGAAGAGGGCTAATAATGAATAGAGATAGAGAGAGAAAGGAACCCACTTGATAAACCTATGATCTGTTAGTTTCCAAGAAAAATCAACAAGTCATCATAAAATGCACCCACCACCACCACCACCACCGCCAGCAGAGAGAAACTGATGATATTAAGTAAATTAACACCCAAGAAGAACAACTAGAAACCCATTATTTTTCCTTTTTTTTTTTTTAACTGTTTCTTTAATCTGAAACTAATTCTTTACCACGATCCTCCACCCAACATCCCACTCCAGTACCCATTGGAGTCTCCTTGCTCTCCTCTATTCTGCTCAATATCACTTGTGCTTGAGACTGGCTTCAAATCTTCAAAGGGAAACAAGAGCCTCCCTCCATTAGCGCCACCCTCTTGCACGCTCGGGAGGCTCCTATAAGCCCCGCTCCCAAGGCCATCTAGAGTGAAATTGAGGGTTGGCTTGAAGTCCGGCAGTGCGAATAGCCCAGGCGCATAGACGGAGCCTGGATCGGGGACCGGCATAGACATGAACGAACTGAAACTACCTCTTGATGTAATCCCTGAGAGCAGCTCCAGAGCCGAGAGCTGCTGTGTTGCCGCCGGAGCACCAGCAGAGCTAGAGTTGGCAGAGATTTGGTGGTTCTTGCTGGCTTCAAGGCTTGGCACTTGGACTAGTTCAGAGATGGACTTGAAATCATGATGGTGAGGGTTTGGGAAGGCCAGGTTCAGATCTTGGCCTTCGTGGAGTGGCACTTTGTTGTTAGGGTTTGTTGCAGGTGTGCTGATCAGATCAGGCAGCTTCTTGGATGAAGAATTGAAAGACGAGGAAGCAGATGATGCTGAAGATGATGATCTCTTGTTCTTCCTTGAGCCACCACCCACAGGGATGTTCCTGAGGGACCCACCGTCAGTCCAGTACCTCCTGCAGGTCTTGCAGAAGTACCTGGGCTGGGTGAGGCTGTAGTTGTTGTAGTAGCAGAACTTGGTGTTGGTGGAGTTGCATCTTGGGCAGTTCAGGGCTTGTTCCTTCTGTGGCCTTGGCTTCCTCTCCAAAGCCGAAGATGACGATGGCTTTGGGGTCGTTGTTGCTGTGCATGTGCTTGTGACTATTTCTTCTATTGGTTTCACCACAATCTCCTAAAGAAGAAAGGCCCAAAAATTAGAAAACGAAAGAGGCATCAAGAAACCGTAGCATCATGAGGAGATGAAGATCAAAACACAAGGGAAGATCAACCCTGAAAATCTGAGAAAGAAAACAGGAAGAAGGTGAACACAAACAAACAAAACGAGACCAAGTAACAAAGCAAAAACAGCCCACTTTTCACTTTTTCAAAGTTGGCATCCAGAAAATAAAGATGCAGCGTCTCTGTCTCTCTCCCTCCCTCCCTCTCTCTCTCTTCTTTTTTCTTGGTGACCATAATTGAAAAGGAGAAGGGAAAGTGGAAAACACTATCAATAACAGGTATGACCGAATTCAAAAGAGAGTTCAGACCTTGCACTTAGCTATTATATGAGCTGAGAGAGGAGGAAAAGAAAAGAAGCGATCGTCTTTCATCTTCAAAGAACAGCATCACTTTACCCTTTATTAGCAGCCAAATCATCAAGAGGGAAAAGAAAAGAAAAGAGAGAGAGAGAGAGAGGGGGAGGGGAAGGAGATGATGCAGATCAAGTGAGAGAAGAGGGATGGAGGGATCTATCTTACCTGTGGCCACTGAGCGGTGTCCATGGATGGAAGCTCTTGATTAAAAGGGATGGCAAAGATATAAGTTGGCTTTTGGAGGAGAGAGAGAGAGAGAGAGAGAGAGAGAGAGAGAGAGATGAGCTGCTTTAGCTGAAGCTGGTTATGAAAGCAGGAAAAGGAATGTTTGAGAGTGTCTGGACGTCCTATGAATGTGTTATTTTGTTCTCTGAGAGAGAGAGAGAGAGAGAGAGAGAGAGAGAGAGAGAGAGAGATTCCGGGAATGTTTGTCTCAGTGATTTTTTTAATTATTTATTATTCCGTGTCCCGAATTATATTATCTCCCTAATAATAATGATTTTATCAACGACTACCCAAAAAACACTAGTTAACACATGCTTAATAACAGGAAATGTTCTAGTTCCAAAGCATTTATTGTGCATATCACAAGTATAGTGAACGCATTAAAAATTCTTAAATCCCCGTTTTTAATAACTTAACTAATATTCGAGAGGCACTTCCTAACAAAATCCTTAAAATAATTTCGATAGTCCTAAATAATCTCACCATGCGAACGATTGTGAATACATCCCTAAAAAGCCAGTGAAATCGAAAATTGGGATATCACGATACAAATGATAATTTTTATAATGACGGAGTAAAAAGTTATCTCTTGAAACAACGTTAGACTAATCAATTGAAATAATCATAAACGGTCGCTCTATATTTCGAAAATAAACACTTCTTACCAATTTAACGCCGCATTCGAATGTAAATCATTAATCTTATCCATGGTGTTCAAAGTAAGATTGTAGTAACAATGGATCTTATTAATTTATGGTTTTGTGTGTATGGTCTTGAACTTAGTGGGTTGTTCTACGATAATGGTTATGCATATCCTATCGGCATCGCCTCCCCTTTATGCGATAAAGAAAGACTAAGGTGACTCCAAGTCTCTTCTCATCTTGCTTATGAGAAAACGGAGGAAAAAGCCAGGGACGCATTTCGATCTTGAAAGAATAAAATCTACTAGCATCTTCACGATCTATTTCTAATTTGAAAGCCCTAACACCATGCTGTCGCTTACGTAATATTAATAGAACTCAATTTGTGTAGTCGCATGATTAGACAGGTAAACCTACACATATCGTCCCGGACTACATTGATGAGACATGGGCCTTATATTTCGAATAGTTCTTACTTGCTTAGCTCGATTGATTCGATACGTAAGGTGTCTTGTGAAGACCATTCGCATGGTTTCAAGCATTAAATTGCCTGTGTTTGGACTCCCATCAAAACCAATAGTTGTAGTTCTGTGTTTTTTTCCACCATTACAGAGAGCGAAAATGAAGTGAATAGGATTAAAGGCCAGATGTAAGCAGAGGCCACTGATAACCTCAAAGTGGGGGAATAAAACTGCTTATAATCGTGTCCACAGAGTCGCCATCATTGCTAACTTCAGGGTTGAGTGATTATAATTCGGCAGAACTATGCTGATGCTGCACTAAACTCCTATCACCATGCCTCATGGCTTGCTGCTTCGGAATCGCACGCCCGCCCGCCCGCCCCAGCTGCCGCCGCCGCCGCCGTGGTGCTCTCTCTCTCTCTCTCTCTCTCGTCTCTCTCCCCTGTCACCCACCTCAAGGCTTCTCCTCTTCAATTCGCTCAACGGAGCTCTTCAGGCTCAGGCGAGAGAGAGAGAGAGAGGGACAGAGAGGGAAACGAGCTGAGACACAGCAGTAGTGGCAGATGGGTGGTGGCAAAGAAGTCAAAAAAGAGAAGTCAGGGGGGCAAACATAGTACGGAGAACATCTCAGTCATTATGCTTCATATGAGTCAATCCGTCCTTTTGCCAATATAATAAATTTAAGGCATAGATTTATACCTACCTACCTACCCTCTCTATCCTACAAATTCTTGGAAATTTCTAAGCATATAGCCCGATATTATTAATGAAAAGATCTTCTTTCGACAAACGGGATGGTGATCGTGATAAAAGTATGAATTTCGATATATCTAATTTCATCGTCTCAAATCTACTTATAAACGGAGTTTCTTTTCGTTGGTGGTGTCTCTTATATTAAAAAAAGTTTTGAATTCAGGAGATGCTAATCCAAAATAAAGAAGGTAGCCCCAAAAATCTCAGTCCCTCTTCTTTCTTGCTTTATCTTTGTTTCAACACGAAAGACAATCCTAGGGCAGATCACCCAATGCTAACGAACTATTTATGGAACAACATGAGACCTACGGAATTGCTTTTAATCAAAACATATTGTCGTATCCTTCACTCTCTTTCAACTTAATTCTCCATTTATTTTGCAGAAAATAAATTATTTAAAAAATATTTTCCTAAAAATAATAACTTGTATCGCTTATATAATTAGTCGATGAAAAATCTTTCATTAATGATAATAATTTATTTATAAATATTTTTGTAAATAATGAACATATTTTTCATTTTTCATTTTTTTGTAAGGAATACAAGCGATCATTTTAAAAACAAAATATTTTCCAAATAATTCATTTTCCATCAAACAAACGTCGTTTATTATTTGTCAACCGGGTTGACAATTGACTCACTTCTCTAAACAGTTGTTTTATGACTCTTGTCTTAAACACAAACCCTAATTCGTCGACTGGGCAGTCAACTCGATTTTTCTACCAGCCAATTTTGATCGTATGTTATTAGCAGAGGGATTTTATATAGCATTTCTCTTTTGCGTAAGTACGCAGCTTTCATGTTGTTATAGCGTCGTCCTCGTTGTTTTATATAGCATTTACTACCCAAAAAAAATCAACATCCTCGATTGTTTAATATAATTATTCGTGATTTAATGGAGAAAAAGTCGTGTTTTCTCTTTTTTATGTTAGATGAATTTATGAAACGATTAGGGACAATGTACCCGACTTTGGCCACCCCTGCAGCCTTGCTGATGGTGCTCGAATTGGAGATTTTTTGGCGCTACGACTTTTGTAAATCGAACACGTGGAAAATGTTAAGTGGAATTTGACCGCATCATTGCTCATCATTTCCCGTTTCGGTTGGGGATTTCTTCATCATTCAGCATGCAGCTGGATGTTCGAAAAGCAAAAGTTGCCAGTTGCGTCGAATTATAATTTAATAGTAGTATAATATCACCTTCGAAATAAAATTTAAAAAATAAAAAAAAATTCGGCTGGGCGAGAGCTCGTCGCCGCACTAGCCACCGGGCGAGGGCCTGCGAGCCCTCGCTCAGAGCTGGGCAAGGACTCGTTGCCCTTGCAGCGGCCTATGAGGGCCATGAGCTCTCCCTCAAATCTGGGCGAGGGCCGCGACCCTCGCCAGCTGCTAGCAGGGGCTTCACAGCCCTTGCACAGTGGCCGGCGGGGGTCGCTTGGCCTCAGCCGGTGGCTGGCAGCCCCTGCCGACATTAACAATATAAAAAAGTGAAGAAGGAAAAAGCTAAAAAAAATTATTAAAATATTATTAAAAATTATCCACGTCAGTATTGTTCGTGCCACGTAGAACGGCCGGCATTCACATCAACAATTTGCAATCAATTTTGGCCGGAAACGCGAAGATGTTTATGACTTAATTGACATAATTAAAAGGTTTAGAACTAAATTAGTAAAAATGTAATAAATTTAATACTTTGTGGACAATTTTCACGTGGAAATCACGTTACTAAAACAAACCCTAGACCCGAATTAACATCTATATGTGTGGTGGTGGGAATTCCAAAGTCGACGCTGTGATGGCAGCTATAGCAGTATGGTGGTGGTTTCGAAGTCGGGCCTGTGGTCTTGGGCGGTGGATGGCAAGGGTGGAATCTCTGATAGAGAGAGAGAGAGAGAGAGGAACAAGGGGAGATAGGACTTTCAGATTCTTTTGTTTGGATAAGCTTAAATCACATTTGTAAATGTCCCTAATTGTTTTGAAAATCTACAAATGACAGTAGGGACCGTAATTAATTGGTTATATTGTGGTTATTAGTTAAAATCATTTATAATTTGATGCTGATTATTAGGTAAGTCACGCCCCATTACATTAAATTTACTTAGAAAGGTTCGAGCCACGTCAACCCAATCCAGTCAAAAGTTTGGTTGGGTGCAATCTTTCCCACGCAAAAGTATTGCCCAAACCCACCCGTTTGCCTATTGATCCTGGACAAGCCAAGCGAGACTGACCACCCATTAATCACGTCCATCAAGAATGATATCGGACTCTATAATTCACTAATCAAAGCCGCTAATCGAGGCGACCTACTATTGACGAGCCCCTTTTGTTGTCTTAAGAACAATAATATGTCCCGATAATGCTGTTGTAACAACGTACATTCTATTGTTACATCGATGTAAAGTGTTGTGACATAACTCAAAGACTCCTTGATAGACGGCCGAAATATTTTTCCTTGCCACCTAACAGCTATCGTTCTAAAGAGATGTTAGAGAGAAGTGCTAGGGGTGAGCATGGTTCCAGGATAGAATCAAGAGTTGGAAAACCGGACCAGTTCCAAAGTATGCAAAGTAAGTTCCAAGTTCCAAAAATTGAGGAATCAGTTTTGACGAGTAGGTTGCAGGTCCACCTGAAATTTGGAACTTGGAACCTGAAATAAGTCTTTGCGTTTTTCTTGTTCAATGTCTTCGCGCAATTCTACGGTATTCCATAGCGTCCAATGATGAGTGCGTAATATGGAACCACTAATTTGAGCTTCCATTTTCGGCGATATATAAGACTGAGACTTTTACCTCGTTAATATTTCATATTTTTCCCGTGTTTAAGTATGAGTTGTGATTAGTGAATTATGGCAACAAATGATGGTCACTAAAGGGCAATTCTTCACTGCATTTGTTCAATTAAGAATACAGGTATAATCTACGTAGACTCTGAAACCAACCCCGAGACCTGTGACGGGGTAATCCCAGGTTCCAGAGTACGCATCGTAGGTTTCACGTTCGAAGAACCAGGGAACCGATTTCAACGGATAAGTCCCAAGTTCTGCTTAAGAGCCGGGCC